CTGATGAACACTTGAAAGTTTTTGAATGTCCAGTTTGGTCAGTGACAAGCAAATATCACCTCTCTTCACAACATCAAGGCAGTGAAGTTTTGGTCCCCACTCAGAATTTACTGTGGCCCCCTAATTTTCCATCATTTACGTGTGGCCCCTTAGAAACATGGCATGGCCCCCTGGGGGGCCATATAGTCCACGTTGAGAACCACTGTTCTAATGTAGAAAACATGAAGCTATGATTGAGTTTTACCAACCTATTTGTATCTCTATTCAGGAAACAGTCCTCAAACCTGTCAATACTTTCTTGAATTGGCAGTTTTCAATGTTGCAGGAGGGCAACATTTGTGGTAAATGTATACATAGCAGTACTTATCAGCTACCATACCCCACCCATGCCTGTTCCACTTTAAATACATGCAGAGGCTCTGGTCATCCATCACTCATTATGTACTCCTAGTTTACTTTTTATATCTGCCACCTGGAGAAAACATTAATCAGGTAAATCTTGTTGTCCTCCATTTCTTATCATTGGAGTCTTCACTGTATACAATCTGCTCTGGGAATTTGTTGATATGAGAAGTAAGTGTAGATCTGCATAGCTCCTACTCTTGGATTACACTTTCTTTCTTTCTCAAATTCTGGTACTAAAGACTGCTAAAGATGAAATCGAAAACAAAAGAAGAGTAAAACATTTTTACAGTTTGAAACCATCAGAGGAAGGGCATTCCAGCCTGAAACAGTTTAATCATTAAACACCTATTTAACATTTTTACAGTTTGAAACCATCAGAGGAAGGGCATTCCAGCCTGAAACAGTTTAATCATTAAACACCTATTTAACATTTTTCTGTGGTATAAGTTTTCCCCCCAAGATGACATAATTCCACTTCCTTTAATCTATCCACCTGTTCATCAGATTGTCCTTCTTTCATTTGTTTGAAAGGTAGACATTAATGCATGTGATAGTGATCATTTTCAGCAAGAACTTCCTGTGTTAGTACCATGTGACTTTGGTGTCTTTAAAAATGCTAAAGGCTAATTGGCAATTCTATACTACTATTTTGAGAAATGGGTGCCCACAGAAATATTTGCAGGGGGGGGGGCAAAACATGTATGCTTTTACAGTGTAAATCAACAGACTAAAATAATATGTGTGCTTAAACACAAAGACAAATTTACAGTTTTAATAAAATTACTAAAAAATATTTAGTTTAACTATGATGTTAAGTTTACATTATATTATGTGTAATTTTTTGTGAAATGTAAAGGGGGGGAGGCAAATGCCCTTCTCTTGCTCTTTCCTGCAGGCACCCATGTTTTGAGACTTGTTTTGCTAAGCATTCTAGCTCCTACAACTGCCCTCCTGATTTCTTGGCCATTAAGATTTGGCCTTAGCATGTTCTCTTTGATGTTTGGTCTGCTGACTAGGAGGAATATAACAAACCATTTAAAAAAAAAAGTTGAACTAGATTTAGTTTGGCAATACATCCGTTAGACCGAATGTTCTTCATTTAAGTACACATTTTATAACTTCCTTATCTAGTATATCATATATTAACATGTATGGATGAAAAGTGCTAGGAAATGTATTGCTATCATCATTTAGACTGATAGTGTGTTAGTGGCTTTACGCACGATCCTTGAAACTCAATATGTAAACCAGTCCCAACAATTCTAAACCCATTTCACACCATACTTCTTGGCAGCTGATCTACAATTCAATATTATTATTTACAGTAACCTTTGGAGTTTTTAACATGCTTAGTTCAGACTATTTTTGGCAGCAAAAGGTCTAGTTTAACCTGATACTGAGTGAAAGCTTTGGAAAAAAGAACTTTATGTAGGAGTCAGTTGTGATTCCAGGTAGAATGTAAAAAATTAACTAGGTTATTAGAAGTTATTAAACACAAATGTTTTGTTTCTGTTGGAGAAATGAAAACACCTCTTCTGTAGCTAGCAGATGGACTGATGAAAAATTTTGATATAATATGGAACTAGTAGACAATAAGGAATTACCTGTTCTATTTGTTAACAAATGAACATTCTGTTTTCCTCAAAATTGTTTGAATACCACCAATATCAATTCCTAGTTACTAAATAATGATAAATAAGATTTCAACAACTGATATTTTAAATTAAAGAAAATGTTCCATTTTCTTTATTTCCAAAAGCATACACATTTTTTATCTATTGGAATGAGTAGTATTGAATCACAGTAACTGTAATAAGTTTCAGTAAATATGTAATATCTTAAACCATGTTAGGGATGATTAATTTATATTGTTTGTCATAGAGTATTTATTGATTTGTTGTATTTTTTTATGGTAAATCTGATGTAGTTCAAGGAGTGGAAGTATAATTTGAAACTAATGTTACCTCCTGCATAAAAACTTGATCTATCCAAAACAGTGTAAGGTGAAATATGTAAACACTGATCATAATTGTAGCAACGACCGATGCATATTTCATGATTATAATGCTTGAATTTGTATAGAATTATCTTATCAAAGATGTTAATTGTGTTTTATTTAGGTTTTATGTACAATTGAATTGCCAAAGATGCTAAGTACTTATTTAGGTTTTGGTAAACAGCAATGAAGGTTTGTTGTGACAACTTTTTTTTTTACATGATTTCAGTTGAGGTTGATAGAACGCAAGGATTCCACCTAGATTTGGAAGATTTTTTGATGGGACTTTTGTATCTAGCAGATGAACTGGTATGTCAGTATCCATATTCCATTTTAGATATATATATATATATCTGTAGATCAGATCTATATAGCCAGAAACACATCTATAAACCATTTCAAGTACGTAATTCTAAGAATATTTTTAAGTGATTGAGATATGTGGTTATAAGTGTATCTGTAAATCCTTTTACTTTAGGCACATCTATCAGGGTGTGATTTAATGGTCTGTGAAATTCTAAAAGTAGGTCAAAATCAATTCTTGCATGTTTACTTCATAATGGCATTAATTTAAAACAGTTGCTATCATTTATTGTACTGTTTTTAAAGTTTCACTTTTTCACAGAGCTCTAACCTATCATATGTGTTGATGCATACACGACCATATGTATATATACATAAAAAGCTTTTTATTCTATTATGCATATTTTACAGAAGATTATTATAAACATTTTCAAGGCACTTTTTATGTATGTGCTCAGTCATTTTAACTGTCAAATACCTTAATGGTATGAGCCTCATGTAAGTCTTGCATGGCCTGGTGCTTAGAGTGATCAACTCATAACTTGCGAGTCTTGGGATCGAAGCCCATTGCCAAACATGCTTACTAGTTCAGCAGTGAGGATGTTATAATGTGAGGGTCAATTCCATTGTCTTTTCATAAAGAATAGCCCAAGAGATGGTAATGGGTAATGTTGGTTAGCCTGCCCTCTAACCTATTACTTAAAAATTAGGGACAGCTAGTGCAGATATACTTTGAGTAGCTGTGCACAAAATTCAACAAATGAGCTTCACAACTTACCTTATCATAATCTGTATAATCTAACACTAGGAGCTTTGCTTCACATCTTACCTTATCATAGTCTGGATGATCTAACACTAGGAGCTTTGCTTCACATTTTACCTTATCATAGTCTGGATAATCTAACACTAGGAGCTTTGCTTCACATCTTACCTTATCATAGTCTGGATGATCTAACACTAGGAGCTTTGCTTCACATTTTACCTTATAGTCTGTGTAATCTAACACTAGGAGCTTTACTTCACATCTTACCTTATCATAGTCTGGATGATCTAACACTAGGACCTTTGCTTCACATTTTACCTTATCATAGTCTGGATGATCTAACACTAGGAGCTTTGCTTCACATTTTACCTTATAGTCTGTGTAAT